TTTTGCATTCTTACTGGAGACTACTTGTTTTTTGTTGAGTACTTCGAAACAGACCCCACTCAATTACAGAGAGGACAAGGAAATATGATAATTTGTCAGTAATAAATCCTATATATGCGTCTGCAAAGTCATGCCAACTTTTTAAAGCAAGGTCTCAAGCCAAAAGTCCTGTTAAAATTCCTATAAAAAGTAATTATTTCAGCCGTCGGAGCTCAAAGCCTAGTTCACTCACTCATGTCCCGAAATCAAAAAAAAAGCTTTTATTTTTTAATTACATTGCTTTTGAAATGCAAAAATTACGGCATGCATTTCAGATGTTTACGGTATGTATGAAAAGAATACCAAAGCTTACCCACTTCGGCCTTTAGATATAAAACCTTAACATTAAACAATATACATAATCATGGAATTATCGTTTATATCTTTTTTGTATGAATTCATTAATTTTTATTAATTTTAAAATTTTTTTTTAATATGTGTTGATTACTTTTTTATCTGATACTTATTTTTTTTATTGGATACCGGGCATAAAAAATTATATACTATCATGCCATATACATATATTAGGTATTGATTCGATTTAGTTGTCAGCGCAAAGTTATTATAATAAATTATGCGAATTCGTTTCATTACATTTTTCAACACTGAATAGACGATAAAATGATAATTTTCACACTTGCCTTTTTCCATTGTTAATTTGCGCTTGTTGATTAATACGACAGTATGGGAGAAAAAAAAGAAATTAAATATTCATTAAAAATTTAATATCGCAGTGGGTTAGAATGCTATATATATGCATAAGGTTACATTTTTCTATAATATACGACGCTTAAAAAAGTTTATAATGCATTAAAGTATGAATCGGAATAGGATGGCCAGGATGTCCACTCGCATCTCGAATTCTCTGTTACGATCTTAGTGTTCTCACAGAACAATAAATAATTTTAATTCAATCTTATCTTATTTTGAACATAGAACCACACATGCATACTTCTCTTGCAATTTTTGCGATATTTTGACGACAATCGGCATAATGGCGTGCTATGGTTCACGGACATACCATATCGAAAATGGTTTGGATCGCACATTTTTTATATTTACTTTTATTTTTAGGTATTTGAATAGTAAGCAGTAGTTAGTAAGTATTTAATAGTAAACCCAAGTAAAGCCTAATTGAACGAAATTTCGACCATACAAGTCTATTTTTTGGATCCTACCTCAGGTAAGGGTGATGTTGAAAAGTAAGCCTTTGTAAGGCAACAAAGCCGAATTTTTAATGTTATGTGACGACAATAGCTGCAGAATAATAAGATCTTTGACAAGTTCACGTTTTGGTCCCACTTCACACACAATGAAAGTATGCCTTTACTTGAAAACGAGGTTTAATTTTTGGTATTCTGTCATGAAAATAAATGAAAGCATTCTAACGTACTATATATTTTTTTAAACATCAAAACTTTCTTTTTAGAGTGAGAAGAAGACCATCATACAGCACGTGAAAATCGTTTAGATCCACAAAAATTCACAGTTTGGTATGATTTATAGGCTGGAGGTGTAGGTGGACATATTTTTTAGCAAGTGAAAATGGCTTTGCAGTTACCATCAATGAAGAATGCTACGGAAACATAATTACTGATTTTTTGTGGCGTGAATTGGATGATTTTGACGATGATTTCGGATGATAGGTGGCTTCAATAAGACACTACAATATGTCGTCTTGCTATAAAATCCATTTGTTGGGAGAAAAATTTAATGATTGTTTAATACCGAGAAACGCCGATATTAACTGGCTATCAAGATCATGCGATATAATGCCGTTGATGTTTTTACTATGGAGTTTTGTCCAATTAAACGCACGCACGTAGCAACCTTAAAATTAACATTAAACCTTATTCTGCGAAATGGGTGCAGATTTGCAAAGAAAAACGGCTACTGATCCATATTGCAGAAACGGATTTTTACGAATTATGCATCGGCCATTATTTATATGAAATCACTTTTAAATAAAAATGTCATAAATCATTACACAAAATAAAAAATTCATGTTTATATAAATTTACTTTCATTTCCATTACAAAAAATACAAATAAAAATGTATAGCTTTTCACCGGCGTTGCCCGACTGCAATGGCTTTGTTTGGCTTCTTTTACTTTTTTGCCCACATATAGGTAGGTATACATATGAGAAACTAATTAGTTATTAATTTTTTAAAATCTCTAACAACATTTCTCTGTTATTATTCTTTTTTTTTTTTATCCGCCTGGGTGGCCGAGTAGGCAAGAGTCTCGACTAGCAACTCAGTGGTCGTGGGTTCGAATTTCAAGTGCGGTAGAGTTTTTAATAAAAATAAAGGCCGATAGCCTTAGATGCTAGTGCTTTTAAGAGTTTAGTCTTAGAATTTATTTCTCTGGCGAAATTAATAATAATAATAATAATAATAATAATAATATTATTCTTTGTTTTTGGTTTTATTTCTTCAACATTTTACACCAACATCCTGTTAAAAAAATCGGCAACACTGCAGTGTATAAATAAATAGCACTAATAATACCGTGTAACTAAAATATACTAATAAGCATTGAGCTGGTAATGCTGATCACATTAGTAAATCTTTCTTTCTACATTTCGCGATGAATAATTGACGATCAAAGATTTTAATTTCCAGAAATTAAGAAATTTAAAAAAAATTGATTAAAACAATATAGAAATTTATTGTTTAGTTTGTTTAGTGTGTTTACTATATGTATAGTGTAGTGTTTATCCAGCGAAAGATAAAATTTCGCTTGCAAAAATTTCTAAGCAATCAGTGAAGTGAATCGCACTGTCAAATCGAGAGTGTTTATTGCTATTTTAAAACAAGAAGGGTAGTTTCTACTCGTAAATTAATAAAATGAAGTCATTTTAGTGCATAAATTAAAAATAAGTTCTTTTTAAATCCGAAATATGTTGTCTTGTTTAGTCGTGCGCGTGTTTTTAAATATGGGAAAGGGCTTATGCACTTGCCCGAGGAAAATTTATTTTCATTAATGACAGAATTCGATTGATTTTGTATTTAGTCCCATCCAAATTGAAGGAAAGTATTACTTTTGATTTTTTTTATTTCCTTTGCACAAACACATGACTATCATTTTTCGTTCATAATGCTATTACAAGTTATTAGTAAGTTCTGCTCAACGTTCATCTTTGATTCCCTTTGTTCAAATATAGTTTAAATTTAAGGTAAGTACACCATCATCTTTATGTGCCAGAAAATGCATATAATTTTTAATAATGTAAATTATCGAATTGTATAGAAACTTTGGATATTGAAACAAGAAAATTGTTATCATGAATAGATTGTTAAAAAAACCACCCTGGGTATCTCATTGTCCCTTATAGGAGTCATGGAAAATTAAAATGGTTTTGGTTTTGTTTATAGTTTAAATTCATTTGCTTATTCAAACGAACTTTCCATATATTGAAAATGTTATACACAGGCCGTATATATGCTTTGATTTCGAAATATATAAAAATAGAAAAGCTTCGCAAATTCAAAACTTAATCATCTTGTCTATAAATTTGTTATTTTGAATGGAGGGCTTTTTTTTCTTTAAGCTTTCAACTAAGGGCACATAAACGGTGCATAAATTTATGATATAAGTTTATTAATATAGCCACCGCCGATTAGTTCCCAGTATATTCATTTCGTCGAAATACTTGCAACGTCAGGGAAGAAACTTCAGGCATCCTTTATATATACGCTCTTATAATTACTATCTATCTAAACATATCTTTTGGCCTACTGTAGGCTTTAACACATCAGCCTGAAATTTGGCAAACCCATTGATAGTTATTGCTGGCAGATTGATATTGAATATGGAATAAATCGGTCAGATAATGCTTTCGCACTCCATTAGAAACTGAGCACACATTTGTTTTCACAAGCAAAAAACAAACAAAATAGTAGTTAGACGTGTAAACTTGCCGTGACTTGCACTATGTAACTTTATTTTCTCACACGCCTGCTAATGTAAGTAAGTATTTACCCGGAATATAGATGTAAATTACAATTAGGTAAGGGTCAAGAATAATAAATTCTTTAGCAAGAAAAATTATTTTCTAAAATTTGAATTACGCCCGTTCAAGTTATGGGTCTCTTTTCTCTGAAAAGTAAGCCTTACAATAAAATAAGTGTGGCCAAATACAATTTTCCATTATTATTAGACGAAGCTTTAGAGAGGATTATTATGGAAATTGTTATCATATCCAACACCATTTCTGTTTATTTCAAATCGATCTAATCAAGGCAAGCCAATCTGCCAAACAACTATTATTATACCGTCCATGGCTTGAACCTTGTAGTAAACATTGTGGCTATACATATAAATATATTTTTTTAGTTGATTCCGTCCGATAAGATTAATTAATGCTTGCCAACGCTAGGTAACGGATAGAAGTAGAAATTATTAGCATAAAACATACTGCAACTCACAGATCCCAAGAATAGAAAAGTGATATCCAGATTTACGCTTTTTTCGGTTTAAGGCGAATACAACTTTAGACCTTGTTTTCAGATTGAACTTTGGTTCAATTTTCTACACCTCGGCTAAACGAAATTTCCTTAATTTACTTAATAACAAGCAACGGCAAGCTTTGCCAAAAACCGACACTTAAACAAGAAGAAATGTTTAGGTTCGATTTCTAAGTTCATACTTATTCAGTTTAGACTGCAAAATTAAGAAGGTAAACGATTTGAAGGACATTTTTAGATAGCAATGCTTACTTACCACTAATAACAAGCCATGGGGTGAAGTATAGGACCTAAGCATCATCGCTTTTTGGTTGCTTTTCTCATTTCAATATAAACTGGTGGCGACTATTACAATAATCGCTTTAAACCTGACTAATCCTCTTCATGTTTTCGTCTTTTTTGGCATATATTTTTTATTCTATCAATTTTGATTCAAAATTAAACTGCTTCAAATTTTTTGACTGAATTTTTTCCCAGCTTATCTCGCAATCTATATGTAACCGAGTTCCTTAACAGCTTTTATCATTCCTTTGAATCCATCTAACATTTCCGCGCTTGTACGTAAAATTGCGTTCTCTGGTAACTCAAAGGGTGGTGACGGTCTGCCTTTACCAGGTAATTCAATCGTGTATGCTATCGGTACATGTTTCACTGAATAGGCCCAATCTTTGCTGCCTCCAGAAAACATTTCTAAGGTTTGAAAAATTTTTTAAATTTGATTGCAATTATTAAGACTAATCGTCATACTCAACATATTGCCACTGTTTCCACAGTTGTATCTAGTATGATACCGCGGATAGAGAGCGTCAGCAAAAGCATTTGCTACATACATCAGTTCCCCATAGCTTTTAGGGGGCACTCTCGTGTGGGTGAATGGTGTAAGTACAGATTGCGCGGGAGAATGTAATGCAACATAAATTTTAATAGAATCTTCGGGAATATTGTTATTTATAAACTTGGTTAGTTGATCAACTTCTGGTTCAGATTGAGGATAAGGACCGCTATATATACTTGAGCAAGGATCTACACACTTTAAAACTAATGATATCTCATGTTAAAAGAAAATGGCGAAAGATAAGCAAAATGAAATACTCTTACGTCCCCATTTAAAATTGAAATTACGATTTAAATCGACACCGACGCATTCGGCATCAGAAGCGGGTCTTCTTGTTTTACGCCACAACCGCTCCTATTTTCAATGAAGAAAAATTGAAGGTCTACACGCACATTGCTTATGAGCAATTTGTAACCTTTGCCTACCTTCTCATGCGAATAAACAAAACCATCAACATTCAATACAGGTATTATCCACCAATCAAGACTCTCGGCCAGTTCACGTACATCAGGATTCATGGAAAACAACAATTCCATGATTAAATAAGTGCAAGCAGCTGAAGTTATCCATTCTCTGGCGTGAATGTTTGATTCGATAAAAATAGCTTTCTTACCGGGCTTAAAAGAAAGCTTCAGTCCTCTTATTAGACGGCTTTCATAGGAACGACCGATATCAAAACCCGTAACTACTCTGGGACATTCTTTTATAATAAAATCCATCCAAGAGTAGATTTCGCACAAAGTGGGATAGAACGTCCAGTCGAGAAGTCGATATGTAGGCCTGTACTTTGGGAATAGGTTACGTCTATCTAGAAAAAAATTATCTTTCTTTAAATTATTCAAATAATAATTAATTACTAAATATTCACATTAACAATAAGGATTTTGTTTTGTAAGAAATTGCATCTCCTCTGGGCTTGCAATCCTGGGCTCGGCGTAATTCACTTTTATAGGTTCCCCTTATCATTTCCCTAGATTCTTCCATGTCTCCTCGGTGCTCTCTCTTATTCTCCCCGGCACTTTTTCCAATTACAAATGCACGGCAAATATTTATCCTTACGTCGAGGTTAATTGGTATAAATTTCTTCTTTTTTTTTTTTATTCAGTCATTTTGGGTAGCAAAAACTTGTAAAGTAAATAAAAATGAAATATTATTAACACTTAAAAGTGTATAATAACTAAAACCAGAGAAATGAGAAGACAGTGAATCGTCTATTGTCAGTTTGCAGAAGAAGAAGAAAAATATAGGAAGCAAAAATCCGGAGCTAAATCGGCATAGATTAAGGTGCGAGTAGCGAACTTTCGTTGTTTTTTTCTGGCCGCACGAGCGTGTTGGCGTAATGACATAAATATTGTAAGTGACGAACTAACACATGACCTGTTGAACAAGGAATTAGGAAGATAGATAAAAGGTAATTAGACGCAGTAAGTGATACGTCACAAAACGTTAAAAAATTTAAAAAAAAGTCTATAGTATTAGTTAGGAGAAGAAAAAGGTGGCACTATGGATTAGTCGACTAATTCGTCAATAAATTTTGAGTCAATCAATACTTAAACATCATGTCTTTTGCATAACCCGAACATGAGTACGATCGATTTGCCGACAATGAACCGAATCCACTTACGCCTACCCCACAGCTGTTCATACAACAACTTTTCAAAATAAAGCATCACGAGGGAAGTGGTTTGATCTGAACTATATGAACCATCCGTACCTGAACCAAAACACGGCAGTACACCACTTTTCATTATAATTTCTCGCAAATTGTATATTGAATACTAGGAAGAAATGTGAACAGACAGAGAGACGTAAATGTTCCCAGAAAGTGGTTCTGCACTGATGAGCCTTCCTCAAGCCCTTCTGGGTGTTGCATATATTTGTAAATTAAACCATGTATAAAACGAAAAAACTTCATTCAATGACGTCTGATGAATTTCGTGGTCTCACACACAGGGACGTATAAATTATATATCAAACATAACAATCTTTGTTATAGAAACTTATCTTTATCTATTTTCATATTATTTCATTTATTTATGATATTGACTTTTTACTCAAATTTAATCTGCTCCGGAATCTTTTGTTGCAATATACGAAGTTTGCTTCGAAATTTAAATGTAATCAAGTTCTTTAACAGCTTTAATCATTCCTATAAAACCATCCAAAATTTCTGCGCTTACGCGTAAAATCATTTCCTCGGGTAGTTCGAAACGCCTCGGTCTACCCCTTCCAGGCAATTCAACACAAAGAACTATTGGTATACCTTTCTTCCCATGAGCCCAATCCGTACTTGTACCGGAAACTAATTCTGTCTTTTGGAAAATTTCAAAAGCGAACTCCAAAAATTAGACTGTTTGACTTACTTAAAATGTTACCCAAAATTCCACATCTATATACAGTGCGGTACCGCCGATACGATGCTCTAGCAAAGGCATTTGCAGCATGGAGGAGCTGTGAATAGTTTCTAGGAGGTGTCTTCGTGTGGGCCCATGGCGTTAGTACTGCTTGTGCAGCCGCATGAAGCGCTATGTAAATTTTGATAGAACCTTCTGGAATATTGTTCTCTATGAAATTTGTGAGTTGCTTAACTTCTGGTTCGGACTCAGAATAAGGACCGCTGTAAATATTTGAAGACGGATCCGCACATTTTCTAACTGAAATTATTTACAATTAAAATGAGTATAAAAGATTAAGATAAAATGATTCTCACGTTCCCACTTATAACTAAAGTTACGATTTAAATCGATACCAATGTTATTTGGACTAGCAGGACTCCTTGACTTGCGCCATAATCGTTCCTATATCCAACAAGAAAGTAGATGTGGTACATAGAGACGAAATTGTTTATAGATAAAAAAAAAAAAAAAATACATATTTGTTTGGAGCCACCCGCCCAAAGGACAAAGGCGTTTAAATTGGACCTAGTGACAGGTCATACGCTGTGACAAGGAAACCATCTTGCGTGCCAAGCTGTACTTATAAATTGTGCAAAATAAACTATGGTCTGATTTGGTTAATTTTTCCGCAAATGCATAAAACTAGCTCCGTCGTAAACACTCTGAGATATGCAACGGGCTCTGACACAAGAACCGTCCTAGACGCTAAGATGTATTTCTAAATTGTGCAAAATAAACCATGGTCTGATTTACTTAACGTGTTCTGCAAATATACAAGATCAAGCGTAAACTTTCGTTGTGAACTATGTAAAATCTTCGAAGGGCTTTCTGTCCATGTATCCTGTCGGTGGGCTAACCGATTCTGCAGGTTAACCCGACCCGATAGTCAGGCCAAGTTTCTCACTTACGAAAATATTTGGAAACCATTACATATTCGAAATACACCTGAGATAAACTCTGTGGAAATATAATAACAGTTAGCTTACCTTCTCGTGCGAATAAACAAAACCATCAACATTCAATACCGGTATAATCCACCAATCCAAACTCTCGGCCATTTCACGAATTTCGGGATTTCTGGAAGACAATAACTTCATGATTAAATAAGTGCAGACAGCCGAGGTTATCCATTCTCTAGCATGAATGTTTGACTCAATGAAAATTGCTTTTTTGCCCGGTTTAAAAGAAAGTTTAAGGCCTCTTATCAAACGACCTTCATACGACCGACCGATGTTGAAACCTGTAGCTATTTGAGGATATTCTTCGATGATGGAATCCATCCAAGAATAGATTTCACACAACGTGGGATAAAAAGTCCAGTCGTGAAGTCGATAAGTAACTTTTTTTCTTGGGAAAAGGCAGCGTCTAAATAGAAAAGAATTTGCGAATATTTAAGCTTTTCGCTCTTAAGTTATTCAGCACTTACATGAAAAGTAATGACAATTGAATATAAGAATTTACGTTTCCCCCTGCTTTGCAATCCCTAGCTCGCCGAAGTTCACTTGTAAACGTTCCCGTGATCACATACCCATTCTGCATCCAGAAAACTTCAGAAAAATAGACTGACGTTTCTGTCTCGATAGAGAATTTGCCTTTGAGACACGCTTGAATTGTCTCTTTCGGCGATAGTATGACTATATCAATTGTATACAACAACGAAAGTTTATCTTTTATTATAAGGCTCCGCCATTTAGGAAAAGAATCATCTTTTGCATCAAGAGGAAAGTTGAAGTGAAAAATTACATTTACAGGCAGCCAGCTAAAGTGCAATTCATTGGACTCGCATACTCCATAGTTATTGCAGGAATATTCTGTGAGTTAGTGGAAGACTGTCATTGCCACTGTTAAAGTGACGACATTGAAACAATTTTCATTTAACAGTTTTACCGCTTTCTATAAGTGTGAAAGAGACTTTATTCAGAGTTAATATTTTTGGTTCGGTCGTCAGCCATTTTTTGTAAGAAACCTTTTTTGGTCTTATATCGAGAAATATAGGGCACGGAGAACTGCAAAATACCCTACACCACATATCAACTTTTCAAATAAAGCGCTGTGTGGGAAGTGGTGGAAATGTCGCCGATGGCCTTTGCCCTTGAGCTAAATTTCATCATAATATCTCCAAAATTTCAACTTGTAATGCAAGTTTGTAAGGCGGACAGACGCACCGACAAGCTCACATTGAATCTGAACCCATTGATATAATAAAAGGTGGATCTATCTTAAGTTCTTCTGGGTGTCGCATGCATAGTAACAAACTTAATATACTCTTGTACCATGAGCGATGTAGGGTGTAATAAAACGAAAACCGATCTATACTAGTGGAAACGGCAGAGAGTGGAGTCTGATATAGTCAAAATTTTACACATAAATTCTTGGCTTTTTCCAACATTTTTCTTGACTTTCAAATTTTTTAATGATTGGAAAATCGCGTCTAAGTTTATCTTGTCTAAGGGTTTTAGGGGTAGATTCTCTTCCGTCGTTAAAAAATCTAAAATTTAAATTCGCGTACTATCTTCATATTTCTTGGTGAAACGCACTTTATCATTCACTCTTCTTTTGTTTTTAGAAGCTTGTCCTTTCCTACAAGGACTTGTAACTTTTAAGGATCTTTGAGTTAAAGGATTTAATTGCACACAAAGTTTATAGCCAAAGCTCGTACTCTTTTTGCTTACAAACATATGCATATTTTATAATTATAATAAATCATTCTGATCCCGTTGTACCGATTCAACCCACAAGACTTTTAAAGGAAAATTAAGTAAAAAATAATTTACGAAAACAATTCGTCCTCTATTGTCATTCCATTCCATTTATTTGTTTGCTTATTTTTTGTTCAAAGATCACTAAATTTAACAAAATTTTGATCCGAAATTAATCTGAACCGAATTTTTAACGGTAGTTTGTTGTTGCTTATTTCGCAATTTAAATGTAACCAAGTTTTTTAACAGCTCTAACCATTCCAATAAAACCATCCAAAAATTCTGCGCTTGTACGCAAAATACTGTCCTCTGGCAACTCATAAGGCGATGGCCGACCTTTTCCTGGTAATTCAATTGTATAGGCTATTGGTATGTGTTTCTCTCCGTAAGCCCAATCTCTGCTGCCTCCAGAAAACAAATCTAAATTAAGGAAAACTTTTACGATTGATACGTTAAGTAAGTAATTATTTAACATACGTGATAATAAATTGGCACTGCTTCCACAATGATATTTAGTACCATACCGGGAATACAAAGCTTCAGCGAAAGCATTGGCCACATATAAAAGTTCTTGATAATCTTCGGGCGGCACTTTCGTATGCGACCAAGGCAAATGCACTGCTTGCAGTGGCGAATGTAGTGCTACATAAATCTTAATAGAACCTTTTGGTATATGGTTGCTTATAAAATTTGTCAATTGTTCAATTTCTGGTTCGGATTCAGCGCAAGGACCACTGTACATATTTGAAGAAGGATCTGCACATCTTTTGACTGAAATTATATATATATAAAATGATCATCAAAAGTTAAAATAGAGAGGTTCTCACTTTCCCATTTATAGTTGAAGTTACGATTTAAGTCGACACCGACGCAATCAGAATTGACAGGTTTTCTTGACTTACGCCACAATCTTTCCTATACTCAACGATAAAAAATACAATATCTATGAGAAAGATTTTGCTTTAAGGAATTTGTGACGTTTGCTTACATTCTCATGCGAATAAACAAAACCATCAACATTCAATACGGGGACTATCCACCAATCAAGACTTTCGGCCAGTTCACGTACATCAGGATTTATGGAAAACAACAATTCCATGATTAAATAAGTGCAAGCTGCTGAACTTATCCACTCTCTGGCGTGAATATTTGATTCGATAAAAATCGCTTTCTTACCGGACTTAAAAGAAAGCTTCAGACCTCGTATCAGACGGCCCTCATAAGAGCGGCCGATGTCGAAACCCGTAACTATATTAGGGCGTTCTTTTATAATAAAATCCATCCAAGAATAGATTTCACACAATGTAGGGTAGAAAGTCCAATCAAGAATTCGATAAGTAGGTCTCTTTCTCGGAAAAAGATTGCGTCTATCTGGAACAAAATTCGCTGTTTTAAACCTTTTTCCCCTCATAAATTGAAAATAATCACAGTAAAATTAATGATCGTTTTGTGTAAGATATTGCGTTTCCACCAGCTTTGCAATCCTTAGCCCTGAGTAGTTCACTCGTAAAGGTTCCCGTGATCACTGCCTGGGATTCGTTTTGTGTTTTTTTGAAATTCTCCATCATTTATTTAAATCGTATATAAGCAACAAGTATGTATCAGTCGGAAATTAAATAAGGATGTACACGTCAAGAAATTTTGATGATTTTCTATTCATTTATTTGGTGTAAAAAAATCCAAACATAAATTTGAAGGGAGAACAAGTAAGATAATTGTAGTGGTGCAAGGCTGACAATTACATACCCTACACCACTTCGCCTGCTACGCTCGTTTCGAAAACGACACATCCAAAATCACACATTATCTTGCTGCAAAGGCATACTTTTCATGAGACCCCGCATATTGAAGAATGTCATACACACACATGACATGATTCAAATTTAGAAAACTTGATTTCTTTTCCAAAATTTTATTATTTTCCAGCTTCCGTTATAA